ACTTTAGAAGAACTTGGCACTCCAAAAATGTATCGGAAAATGTTTATGCAGTCAAAACGAGTGATAATTTGGTGGATTATATATATTTTTACCGTATATATTTGCGATATAATATTACAGTGGTATCTGAATGATTCTTGGGATATTCTTACATATAATATAACATACAATTATCATCATATCAACGCGATCATAGATTTATTGTTTGTATTGTTTCTGCGGTGTGTATAAGAGTATTTAATAATAATAATTATGTATACATTTTTAATAAGTTAGCAAACATATAATTATATATTTTTATATAATAAATTATATATTTTTTAAATGCAGATATATTGGTAGCAGATTTGATAAAGTAAGCGAACATATGCAAAGCTTGTTAGAAGAAATGGAACATGAGTTGAGATGCACATGGAAAAAATCTGTAATTGTGCATAAATATTCTTTACATATTAATAATTACAAGCGAACAATATGGACTTCAATGTAAATTGGCACACGCATATATTTTGATTAATTTTTGATTTAGAGCTAATTTAATGATACATATAAAATAATACAATAACACTTTAAAATAAAAAATAAAAAATAAGTTATTATGAAAATTAAAGATCGTAAATTATTATAATTTTTGTGTTTTCTAATAATAAAATATGTTTTTCGACAGGCATCTTCATTTGGAACTATGTCGTATCGCTCGCGATTTGCACATGATATTTAGAATGCAACTGTTTTCCGAAATAATATATTATCTTTTTCATCTACCAATAATGTGTTTTTTCTTATGCTTAATGGTAATAAATAAATATCGACAATTATTTTTTATTCAGTTTCGAGCTGTCTGCTGGACTTTCATATTTTTAGTAAGACTTTGCGGTGTAAATTATATATGTGAGAATGTCACATTTAAGGTAAGAAATATAAACATCGAAAGTATATTATATCAGTAGTATCAAATTTTTATAATTTTTAATTTTTTGTAGGCCAACAATATTGACAAAATAATTCATCAACTGGTAGATATTCTTCGATACAATGATATTTCAAAAGAGGTAAAAAATATTTTTGAAATACAAAACATAATTAAAACAAATTATTCAAAATTTAGGAATAATTATGTACATACAGATTCATCAATTTACGTTACAAACAATGCGATATTCCTTGAAGTTCAACCGAATTGGTCTCTTGTATTTCGGCAATGAGTTTCTTCGAAAGGTTCCTATTTGCATTAGATTTTAAATTATTCTATTTTTATCATTTTGAATAAAATTAAAGATTTTAAAGACTATTAATCAAAGTATAAAGTTTTTGTAGTAGTTTTTTAAACTTTGACTTTATTACGAAATGATTATTATTATGTTTTTTTTATATATTAAATGTTACATAACATTTTTTAATTCCTAGTTTATATTTTATAATATGTTAAAGTAAGATGCTGTTTTTATATGAATAAATGCATATTTATATTTATATTGTATAATAAATAATTAATAATTTTTTCCAGTTTAGCATGAGAATTCTAACATTAATTATCATTCTTGCGCAATTTTTTGCTGATGTAATCATGAAAAAGATGTCAATCGGAGATTCAGATTTGTAAGCGCTCTGGCAGAGAAAAGTTGAAAACATATACATATTGTAATCTTGATTAAGTAATTTATTTTAGTGATTCTTACAAAATGCTAATATGATAATAATTTAGAAAAACTGTGGTTACTGTTTGGGAAAATAAAGTGTTATAAAATATAAGAGTTCTTATAATTTATAGTAACAAATGCTTTACAAGTTATTTTGAATTATATGCTAAGAAGTTATTTTATAATTATATGCTATTATAATAAAATGCAAATAATCTTAAGAAGTTTTTAACAAAAAAGATTTAACCATTCTACTTTTTAATCAATATAGGATTATAGTAAAAATATAGATTTTATATAAAAAATTTAAATTTTAATTATATTAATTTACCTGATTTACTAATACGCAATTATTTTAAATAAAAATCTTTTTATTATTCATAAATTCTAATTAATTTATAACGTGCAAAGCATTTTTATTAACGAAATAAATCTACATGCGTTACTTTTCAGAAAAAAAGTTTTTAAATCTAGTTTTTTATTCATCAAGAGTATTATATAATTTTGTCTTTATTTACTAAAGAATTTTAATATCAATTTAAATATTTTTACTGATAGCTGTTTGTAAGCTAAAAACTGTTTACAAATTATTCACGCTAATATTGCCCGACGACATCGATCTGTTATTATGTTTATAAAGAAATGAAAAGAAGGGCGCTAATGTATTAAACTAATTGTGCATTATTTTATCGTGTTGATGAATGTGTCGTGCGAATAGCCACGCGATATCAGTTTGCGGTAAGAATCGCAAAAGTATCGACTATGGCAACTACCATAGAACAGGCTATATATCCTTTGCTAACTTGTTCTATTCTCGGTTTAGGTGTCTACAACCCACAGAAACCTTATTTAAGTATCCTATATAATTTGACAGTGTGGATCGCTTATAGCTACTTGTTTTATTATGTAATAACCGTGTTTAAAGCAGAAAAATGGTTTCTTTATACTATTAGTTTCTTCAGTCTCGAAATTGGTGTTTTCACCACCGTTGTATTTATTATTTTGAGTATATATCAAGACAAGGTATATGAAATAATTTATCCATTACTCTTATAAGTGATTAAAATGTAAAGATTTTTATATTATAAGAAGTATTTGTTGAAAGTAGTTTTTGTATAGAATAAAAATTTTAAATTATAAAAAGAGACAAATATTTTGTATTATTATTAAATATTTTTCAGAAATTTCGGGCATTAATGAAAAGACTTGAAGTTGTAGACAATACGTTGGAAGAGTTAGGTACTCCAAAAATATATCACAAGCTATACGTATATTCAAAAGGAATAATAATTGGTTGGTTAGTGTGTAGCCACAGTGGAAATATGTGTGACATGATATGGTGGTTGAACACGATAAAGGATTGGCGATCTATAAGTATACCTTACATTACGAATCACTATTCTAACGTCAACATATTTGTGGATTTATTATTTGTGACTTTCCTGTGGTTAGTATATTAAAAGCAAAGTATTTAAATAAATTTCATCTTTTTATCAATCGCTTTAACATAAACATACATATATGTATGTGCACAATTAGTAAAATTAAAAAATTAAAAATTTATTATAAACGATTTAAATAATACATATAAGAAATTTATACAAGTTTTAATTATTTAATTATTTTCGAATTTTTTATTCGCATATTTTAAAATTATTTATGTAATCATTTTTGCGTTGCAACGCAGGTACATTGGCACTAGATTTGACAAAGTAAACGAGCTTATGAGATGTTTACTGGTGACAGAGAATCATGGATTAAGATACACATGGAAGAAAATTGTACCGATTACTCGTCTATATATTACGCATACTGACAATTACAAGTGCGTGCTGTGGACCTCAATGTAAATCGGTACACAAATTACTTATTTGAATATATGTATGATTAATTAATAAAATTAATTAATAAAAGTACATTTAAAATTTACTTAAGATTTAATTTATTAAAATATAAATGTTTCTTTTTTTTCAACGTATTTGCCTATAATCTTATTAACGAATTCTATTTTTCGATAGGCATCTTCATCTAGAATTGTGTCGAATCGCTCGCCAATTAAATGCAATATTTGGAACACAAATCACTTTAGAAATGCTATCGCATTTAACATATTTAACAACAATACTTACTTATTTTTTTATTAATGTAAAAACACAAGGTCGTTTCATGATTACGCCTCTCGGTTGGATTGATTTTCTATTCTGGATTTTTTTATATGTGATTAGGCTGTTTGGATTAAATTACATTTGCAAAAATATCAGTGCAAAGGTAATTGTTAATTAATTATTAATAAATAAATATATTTATTAATGATAAATTATTGGTTTTAGGCTAACGAAGTGAAAAAAATAATTCCTCAATTATCAGATCCTCTTCGATATAATGATGTACATGATGAGGTAAGTGTTTTAATTTTAAGTAATAATTAAAGTAATTTATTTAAATTTAAATAAACAGTTTTGAGTATGTAGCTTCATCAGTTTACATTACAATTAATACATCGACCATTAAAATTCACTGGACTGGGTCTCTTCTATCTCGGTAACAGTTTTCTGCAAAAAGTTAGTTTCTTTATTAGATTTTTATATTTCTCATTTTTTACATTATATTACAAATTATAAGCCATTGTATATTTTTTCATTGCGTTTCTCATGGATTATCTTAAATTTATCTATTTATACATATATATATATATATCTTTATGTTCTATGAAGTAATAAAAAAATTAATTAGTAAACAAAAATATTAAATTAAAATATTTTGACTTATTTTAAATTAATATCTTTGATTTGTGCAAAAATTTAATTTCCTTATTTCTTTTCAGTTTTTTACAAGAGTTTCAACACTTGTGATGATTTTAGTGCAGATGTCCAAGTGGACATTAGAAGATTACATAGATTCGAAAAAGAATCTGCTAACAATAGAAAACAATAGCTAAAGTATTATAAGCGCTTTTTAGCAAGTATCACGCATAAAAATGTTAAAATTATTAAAATAAGAATGTATTTTATACAATAAGTATAATAAGTGTAAGTATAAAAAATATAAACATACGTGTAATACGTTTCTTATAAATTTCCTTTTTTGTTACTCACTTTCCTATCTCTTATTCTTCTACAATGTTTTTAAATAAATAACATCATAATAAAACATTAATGTGATTATGATCTAACGCAATAACAACATGTATTATAATTTTAGTAACGTTATACTAATAAAAATTATATTTTATTGTATTAAATATTAAAAAACTCTATAATATCAATTTGTATAACCAGCTAGATTACTGATATACATATTTTATAATAATAAGTATTTTTAATTCTATTTGTATGTTATATGATCTCACGTCAAATATAATTTATTGCTCTTTCCGTTAAAGATAAAAAAAGGAAATTACTGTGTAAACCTTTATACATATACTGTATATTACAAATATCACCCTCCGTACATACACGCGCGCACGCAAAAAATATATTAACGGCATCGTTTTAATGATTCGCAATATGTAAAATTCAATAAGAAATAATTTCTCCGGTTTATTAATGCAAATCGATTTTTTTAATATGCGCAAGTGTTGCAAAAGAAAACACATATTACGATTATAAAGATCTGTTATCGTGAATTGGCGCAAAAGTTATGTGCTTAGGAAATGAGTTTGAATGCTGAATGTCTATACATTCAGTATTAGTTTATGATCAGTGATGATTATGGCGCTCACTATCCAACATGTCTTGCGACCTTTTTTTATTACGTGCTTTATTGTGGGTTTAGGTTTCTATCCTATTGCAGATCAAAAACTTCGGTGGATTGCATATTTAAATATTCCATA